ACGGCCATCTGGATGCCTTGGGGGACCAGCGGTCGAGCGCGCGGTTGCCCGTGTGTGCCGGGAAGCGGGAGGGCGGGTGTGCCACAACGTGCGCCTGGCAGATATGAATGTCGATGCGCCCATCGCGGACGCACGTCGCATTGAGGTTGTGGCCAACGGCTTGTCGCTGTGGAACGGAGCGCAGCTCGCCGTTGACGCCACCATCGTCAGCCCCCTCACCCGCAGGGGGGAGGCGCAGCCGGGCGCTGATGTTCGCCCCGGCCAGGCCGTCGACGCCGCGGCGCGCCGTAAGCGACAGCAGACGTACCCCGAGCTGGCGCGCGCCCGGCGCTGCCGCTTGGTGGTCGTCGGGGTCGAGGTAGGTGGCCGCTTTGGTGCCGAGGCCGCCCGCTTCCTCCGCCTTCTGGCCCGGCACCGGGCCGACGGTGTCCCCGCCGCACTTAGACCGGCGGCGCAAGCGGCGTGGGTCGCGCGCTGGGCTGGGTTATGCTGGGTTCTTGGCGGTGGCGGCGCAGCGCGCGTATGCCAGCTCCCTTCTTGAGCTGCCGCTGGCCGGGGAGTGCTGCGTCGGCGGAACGACGCCAGACCTGCACGATCCTGCACGAAGTCCTGGCCGACGCACGCTGGCTGGCGCCCCCGCAACCCAGCCGCCTGCCGCTGTTCCAGCAACAGGCAGCCCCGGGGCGAGCGCCTCTTGTAGGGTCGACCCTCTGACCGTCGTCTGCAGTTGCAAAAAGGCGCGAGGGGGAAAAAAAAAAAAACAGTAGAAGGGCCAAACTGCCGACGAATGTTTTGTGCAGCACGGCGCGGGTTCATCACTGAATCGTGTTCCTGACGTTCAAGCCAGCCATTCCAAAAAACCGCCTGTTTGCGACGGACCAAATGATGAAACTCAAGCCGCCTAGCCCGGAAGACTTGACGTGACTCAGAAGTATGCTCGCGACACCAACGCCGCCAAACCGCACTCCTGCCAACCATGGCGTCGTATCATTCGTCATCCCACCAGTCAGGTTGTGGCCGCGGCGTATGAGTTTTGGACGAATCACGCGGATTCGCTGCTTTCCAAAAAAATCAACAAAAAAGTGCACAAACTCAGCGTAGAGTATGTCAAGTATCGCTCAGCGCGTGTCAGGGGAAAACGACGAACCATCACGATGCAAACGTGACGCTTTGGCTGACCACTTCAACAAGCGGGGACGCAACGCATGTACCAGCAGCGACCAGTCACGCACGTGTACCCAAGGCTTGGAATCAGCAAGCGAGCTCACAGAGGCACTGCTGCCGCTCCAGGGGGTCCCCTAAATGCGGGAGGAGGCCGAGACGGCATGCAGGCTATCGGGAGCGACTCCGGCCCCATTCAAGACGGCTATCTTAAACAGGTTCAAGGCAAGGCGGGTGTGAAACGCGAGAAGGTGCTCATCGTTCATCGCGGTCCCAGTGCAGGTGGCATTGCAGATGCCTACGTGATTGGGAGGCGGGAGCGGGGAGCGCGCAAACGACTCACGCCAGGCTTCTGGGTCGTGTAGTGAACACGCGGGCAGCGTACGGTCCTGCCTGCGAGTCAAGTAAGGCGGCGTGGCACTCTCTGTCCTTGGCGAGCGCGCCCCGGCTTTAGCCGAGGCTTGCGTCCGACAGCTGGAGGCAGAGGTAGTGGATGCAACCTGCCTTTGTAGTGCCACGGTGGCACGCAGCCGGCTGGCAGGAGTGCCCGTCCTGATTCACCGCTGCTGCTCAGTGACGTTCTTGCTGACTCTTCCGAGCAGCCTCCCCTCGCCAGCCGCATGCCGTGAACTCACCCGTTCCGGCGACCCACACCCACGTGCTGACACGCAGCCCTAATCGGCCGTTGACAGTGCCGCCCGGCGCAAGCGGCGCGACACCTACCCTGAGCTCACGCAGGCGCGCCGCTGCCAGGTCGGCGGCCGCTTTGGGGCAGAGGCTGCGACGTTGTTGCGCAAACTCGCCCGTCAGTGGGCCGCCACCGTGCCGGCGCGCCTCCGACCGGCTGCACAGGCCGCATGGGTCGCACGGTGGGCCGCACTGCTCGCTGTCGCGTCCCAGCGCGCCTGCGCGAGCTCGCTGCTCGAACTCCCGCCCGCAGCTGAGTTGCACGGGGGGCAGGCTGCGCCGCAGCTACATGAGGTCTTGGCCGACGGCCGCTGGGACCTCCCCCCAGGCCAGCCGCCTGCCCGCCCGCCCACAGTAGGCTGCCCCGCCCAGCCCCCCGAACGAGACTTGCCCCGGCAGGCGCAAAAAAAAAGACTCGCAAAAAAAACGCGCAGCAAAAAACAATCTGCTTAGACGTGGAGTTCTCCTGCAGCACCATCAAACTCATTTTGTGCATTTTTGTGTTGACAATATGCTATAGCCATTCCAGTGCAAGCGGCGAGCTGAAACCCAATCACGTGAAGCCAAAGAGTTGACACCGACACCAATTTTAAGCCTTGTGGCGACATGTGGAGTTACAGACGTTGTTGTGGTGGAATAGATGCAGTTCGACTTGTGGTGACATGTGGAGTTACAGACGTTGTTGTGGTGGAATAGATATAATTCGACATTTTTCAATAATACCCCGTCAAATGTCGGAAGCACCGCTGCCATGTGCTTCACCTGCAGCGCAGCAGGAGGTCAGCAGCCATGGGAGTTTGTGGTCAGAGTATGGGGTCAGAGTTTGGGGTCGGCGTTTGGGGTCAGCGTTTGGGGCCAGAGTTTTGGGTCAGAGTTTGGGGTCAGAGTTTGGGGTCAGCGTTTGGGGATGTTTGGGGTCAGCGTTTGGGGTCAGAGTTTGGGGTCAGAGTATCGGGTTAGAGTTTGGGGTCAGAGATTCGGGTCAGAGTTTGGGGTCAGAGTTTGGGGTCAAAGTTTTGGGTAGCTGGGGGGGCGGGGCCGATGTCGCCTCGTCGTCTTCGGCCTTGAGGTAGGGGGCCGCTTCAGCACGAGCACGCTTGCGTTCCTCCGTCGCCTCGCGCGGGTCCGCGGCCGAACGCGGGCCCCTTGGGCGCAGGTCGCCACTGCTCGGGCCTTGACGCGTCGTTGGACGGCCCTGGCAGCGCTCGCAGCCATGCGGGCCCACGCGCAGACTTTCCTCGAGCTGCCAGTCCACCCACGGGATGCAGGTGATGGGGCGGAGGTCCCCTTGGGGGACCTGCTCCTGGACAGGCCGTGAACAAGGCCGACGGACATGACGATGCGGGTTGAAAAAGGTGCGGAAAAAAAAAGAAAAAAGTTTTGGGTCAGAGTTTCGGGTCAGAGTTTCGGGTCATGTGTTTGTTGCAAGTTGCATGTTTGGGCCCCCCCCAAAAGTGTATCAGCACTTGCTGTTTGGGTTTTGTCGCAACGTCAAACTTTGTCACCGCACGCTGCCTGCGGCCTATTCGCGTGCTGGACGGAAATGGCGTTCTCGCTTCAATTAGGCATGGACGTCGCCACATGCTAGTCGCTTTTGGACGTGTGGGCTCGTGAAATACGTAACAATCGTTCCTTTTGATATCTGCGCCGCCGTCCTCTGCCGTTGCTTCTGGACATCTAGGCGCACGCGAAATGCGAAACGGTCATGGGCCATGTCTTTTAGTGTTTGGGGTCTATGCTGGCCTATTTTTTTATTGCCTGAGGAGGTGGATGTGGAGGTGGATGTGGCTGGCGCTGCGCCGTCATCACGCAGGTGCGATGTGTCAGATTGCGTGCGCACGCGCAGCAGCAGCAGCCGTCACTTCACTTTGGCAAGTCGTGTGTGCCATGAGTCGTCATGCGGTGTGGCAAGATTTCATGTGTTGGCAGCTTTGCTCATTTTTTGATCCGCTGAAGCCATGAAATGTTTCAAACAAAAACCGCCGCTGGAACAATGCTGGAGCACTGCGAGTCCCATGTTCCGAGAAGTCACGCAAGAGTTGCCGGGGGACCCCCTCGGGCGTGTTGTGGGGGTGTAAGGAGGGAGAGGGAGGTTTCACTTCCGCAAACCCATCCAACACGCCCCGCAGAGGAATTTCCAATCTACCACCCAATGTATGTTGTGTGATGATTGTGATGATGCGCTGTAGATGACACCACATGAAATGAGATGCTTTTGGCGGCCGGTGCTGTGTGTTCTGTCGATCCTGGTGGTGGGCATGCGCTGTTTGTTTTGCACCCATGTGTTTCCAGATTCTACAGCAAGCCTTGCGAAACAAAGTCGCTGGCGCAAGCCACGTCTCCACAGACATGGTCTCAGCAGCCAGTTTTGCGCTTTTGCAAGGTGTGTCTGCGTCTGAATTGCAGCCAAACCAGCTATATCTGTGGTACGATTATTTCACTTTTCCTCAAGATCTACTCACAATGTCCTTACCAGCTCTGGGTCTCCTTGCATGGCTGCATAACACAAGGTTGACCAACCAGCCTTTGTCATGTTCCCTGAGGCCAGGACTGGACAATGGCTACGCTGCAAGTGGTTCGAAGCACCTCCCTAAGTCAAGGAATGCGCCGCCAGGGCAACTTGAATCAGCGTAATTTGCATGAATTTAGCCGTGCCCCGTACATGCCATGGCGCACATGAAAAGATGCTAAGCCAACGAAGTGGTTCATGGTGCCTGTAGCATAGTGGCTCCCATTTGCACATCTTCCACCAACCTTTCGGCCAAACGGCCCTTTAGTCGTTTGGTTTTCGGATCCTTGCCAAGCGTCGAGTATGCAGCAGTGCAGTAGCTCTTCAGAGTGAAGCTGAAATGGTTCCGCGGTTTGGGTGATCAAGCCATCAAGCCGACCAATCCTTGTAAAGGTCGTCTGCGGGTGTCCACGTGGTGCGGCTCTGAGAATCCTTGGCTCCCTCGCTAAGCTGCAGCCTAGAGGGTTCAGTGCTGTTGAGTGTTGTGTCGGAGATCTTGCCAGGAGTGTCGCTGCATGGTTTCGGGTCTTGCTGCGGCTCATTCTTGCTGTTTGAATCTTTCCCATTGCGTGACGCAGCGCTTTGCCGCTACAGCCTTACAGTGTGTAGGCCAGACATAGGTCGCGTCGGTGCGGCCGTAAACATGACAAAGGATGCTGCCAGAAAGCGGGCAGCTGCCGTGGCTGCCGGTGTGGCAGCTGTGCCCTTGGCACAGGAGCTGTTGGCCTTCAGTTCCACTTCAAACCTGGCACCGCGAACGCAGGCACAGCATAGCTCCGTGCCTGGCAAGCCAGCAAGCCGAACGCCACTCCCAAGCGCAGCTGGAGCAGCCACGCTCACAGGGTTGGCTGCAATGCTTGGCCATGGCGTGAAGAAGCGGAGCGGACCCACAAAAAACACCAGCAGCGTGACCGTGTGTATGAGCCAGTCTTCGTCAGCCGTCTTGGAGAAGGGTTCCACGGAGGCCGTTGACCCAGAGAATGTTTTGAAGCAGTACATCACGGACCTGGGTGGGAAGCGCGTCTTGCGAAAGTGGCTCATTGCAAACAACGGCATGGCTGCCACGAAGGCTATCCTTTCTCTACGCCAGTGGGCGTACTTAGAGCTCGGCTTGGACGACGCCTTCGAGTTCGTTGTCATGGCAACGCCAGAGGATCTAGAGGCAAATGCCGAGTTCATTCGGCTGGCCAATACCTACATTGAAGTACCAGGAGGGAAGAATGTCAACAACTATGCCAATGTCGACTTGATCGTCGAGATTGCAAAGTCGCAGGGCGTGGATGCAGTCTGGCCCGGTTGGGGCCATGCCTCCGAGAATCCCGAGCTCCCATCGCAGCTGAAGGCGTTGGGCATCACTTTTGTCGGGCCCACCTCCCCCGTCATGTCCGTGCTCGGAGACAAGATTGCGGCCAACATCCTGGCGCAGACGGCCGGCGTCCCATCCATCCCCTGGAGCGGTGACGGCCTGCAAGCCGACCTAGGCCCGGATGGCACCATCCCAAAAGAGATCTTTGACAAAGGTACGGTCTCGACGCTTGAGGAGGCCAAGAAGGCGGTGAAGCACATTGGGTTCCCGGTGATGATCAAGGCATCAGAGGGAGGCGGAGGCAAAGGCATCCGCATGGTGCAGGAGGAGAAGGACCTTGAGAGTAGCTTCTTTCAGGTTCAGAACGAAGTGCCGGGATCTCCGATCTTCATGATGCAGCTGTGCCAAGGGGCCCGGCACATTGAGGTTCAGATCATGGGAGACGAGCATGGGAATGCAGTTGCCCTGAACGGCCGCGACTGCTCCACTCAGCGGCGCTTCCAGAAGATTTTCGAGGAAGGGCCACCAGTCGTCGTCCCCAGGGAGACTTTCTTGGAGATGGAGAGGGCAGCCCAGCGCCTCACCCAGAACATTGGCTACATTGGTGCGGGAAGCTCGGCCAAGCACGTCGACAGGTTCGGTTGCACTGTTTATCACTCGTTCATTTCGTGACTCAGCGTTTCAACGGCTTCCCTGTTTAAAGAAAGTGCTCCCCTCCCCCCAAGGAACAGTGGAGTATCTCTACAACTCCAAGGAGAACAAGTTCTACTTCCTTGAGCTCAATCCGCGCCTCCAAGTCGAGCATCCTGTGACGGAGGAGCTGACACGCGTCAACCTGCCAGCCACGCAGATGCTCGTTTGCAGCGGCGTTCCCTTGGAGAAAGTTCCTCAGATCCGACGATTCTACGGCAAGAGCGAGTCGGACAAGACCTCTCCAATCAACTTCTTGGAAGACCTGTACGTGTACCCGGACAGGCATGTCCTTGCGTCTCGAATCACCGCTGAGAATCCCGACGACGGCTTCAAGCCCACAAGTGGCAAAATCGAGCGCATCAAATTCCAGAGTTCTGTTTCATGCTGGGGCTACTTCAGCATTGGCGCCAAGGGAGGCATCCACGAATACGCCGACTCACAGTTTGGCCATATCTTTGCACACGGGGCAAACCGCGAAGAGGCTCGCAAGGCCTTGATGCTCTCCTTGAAGAATATCGAGGTGGTTGGGGAGATTCGCAATCCGGTGGAGTACCTGGTGGAGCTTCTTCAGCAGGAGGATTTCGTGGAGAACAAGATCGACACTTCCTGGCTGGATGGCTTGATCAAGGAGAAGTCCGTGACCTTGAGATACAACATCTCCGACGTGGTCTTCTATGCCGCCGTCTTCAGGGCTGTCCAAAACTTGAAGACCTTCGATGAAGAAGTCGAAGCCGCGTTGGCCAAGAGCCAGCTAGGACCTTTGAGAGACATGGCGAAGATGAACACCTTCCCCGTGGACATCACATTCGAGGGTGTGCGGTACCAGTTCTCCGTATCCCGCTTGGGGCCTTCGCTGCTGGAGCTGTGCATTCAAGATCAGAAGTTCATGGCTCAAGTTATGGCGCAGCCTGATGGAACCTTTCTAGTGTCAGTGGGCAAGACCGTCATGCGCGTGATGGGCTCCGACGAGGCTCTGGGACTTCGACTCCGTTTGGACGGCATCGGCACGATCATGCTGCCGACCGTCTATGATCCATCTGAGCTTCGATCTGAGTTCAACGGCAAGATCGTGAGATACCTGCAAGATGATGGTGGAATGGTTCAGGAGGGGGAGCCTTATGTAGAACTTGAGGCGATGAAGATGATCATGCCGATCAAGGCAACCGCCACGGGCAAGGTCAGTCATGTACGAGGAGCTGGCAGCATTGTGTCCGCGGGCGAGCTGCTGGGCAATTTGGAGCTTTCTGACCCTTCCAAGGTGAAGAAAATTGTCCCCTTTGACGGCACCTTTGCCATTTCGGCAGACGGCAACGGAAAGGACACAACTGCACGGATCATTTTCGCAGCTCCCCCTTTGCTGTAAGAGCCTTGCATGTTATTGACCGTTGCGTGAGGACCGCAGTTTGCAAAGCCAGCTCGAGATGGTGCTGGACGGCTTCACTTCGCAAGAGGAGCCAGCATTCATGGCCCAGAAGATGTTTTCTCAGCTTCCCGAGGCAAGCGCATCATGCCATGAGTTGTGATTCTTTAGAGTCTCCTGTGCATCAGCTGGCGAGGCTGAGTGCGATGACGTTGCGTCGGCTCTGGTGGAGCGCTACTTGGCAGTCGAAGAGAAGTTCTCGCCGCTCATCAAAGAGAAGCTGACGAACGATCAGATCTACGCCAATCTCATTGCTGAGAACAAGGAGACATTAGTGACATCAGCTTCAGATAGCTTGCTGGGCCCCCCAAGACATCCCAAAACAAACACGGTTGAGATTCCGTGGCCCGCCCCGGCCATTGCCGATCCGCGCTCCCCCCCGAAAGCCCGTGAAAGCTTTAGGTTGCATGTGCCCAATTCGGGCAAAAACCACGGAGGGTTTAGGGTTTAGGGTTTAGGGAATCCAGTTGCAAAAGGGTTTAGGGAACAGCACAAGGAGGATGACGTGGGTATTTATGTTCAGGGTTGCCGTGAGGTTCTAAGGTTTACAGGCTCTTCCATGCTTTCAAAATGGAAATCATTACGGGTGGGCGCTGAAAGGTTACCTCATATCTCTCCCGTATATTCGGGTCTCGAATTCCCTAATTCCCCTCTCAGAACTAGTAAGGAAGGCACTTCTAAGACACGCTTCACGGGACCTCGGCAGAGCATATTTTCTTGCATAACCCGTGCAACTTTGCTTGTCTGGGTACCAGTACTCTGTGTCTACAGGACAACTTGTCGGCGGTTGCCTCCTTAGCGCTGGCACATAGCCAGCTGGGCACCCGCAGTGAACCTCGGCCAAGCCAAGTTGTGATTGTAGGGCGGACAGGGATCTGAGATCTAGCACAAGGATGATTCGATGGGATTGTGCTGCTTTCCTGGCGGGAAGTCTCCCCAGGAAGTGGTTCTTGCCGCGCTTCGGAGCTTGCGCAAGCTGAGCCCCTCTGTGAATCTGATGCAGAAGAGCCTCGGCAGCCTGGGCAGGTTTAGCTTTGAGTATTTCAGCGCCCGTATATGTCATCTCTTCGTCACATGTGCGATCAAAATTCAGCGGGCACATGCGCAGTCGAGGATCGGACGTCTGGCAAATCTTGCCAACACAGGCCTGGCATTGATTGTAGTTGTGGCGCTCAGTTTGCTATCTTGGTATCAGGGACAGGCCCCATCACGAGATGTCGTTGCAAGCTCACCACCTTACGCGTGAGCAGCGCCCGCGCTCACCCGACCAGGTGGCTACGGCGAGGTGGTGCTCGTGTCGACAACGGGCTGCCACAGAAAGCTTTGTAAGTTGTACGTGACTCTATTCAGAAAATCGCACCACAAATTACAAACTGGAGAATCAAACCGACAGAGTCGCGCTGGCTAAGGGAGACAACAATGGCGTTGCTGAGCTCCGAGCCGTTTGAGGAATGCGCCGCCCACAGCGGTCCCACAGCATGTCTCCTGCACACTGGGCGCGTGTTTGGAGGATCGCAGCGCAGCTCTACGAACTATTTTGGACACGGACGAGCCGGAGCTCCAGCCCATCTCAGGCATGCCAGCGAGCAAGGCAAGGTGCAGATTGGTGTTGCCCATCAATACCATATGCTGGAGAGACAGTTTCCTAGGATTTCCCATCCAAAGAGGGGCATGGCACAAGCAATTGCAGAGGCCGGTGCAGAGCTGCTGTCAGATTTGTTGCTGGACGAATCATCGTTGGCCACCCCCCTGCACTTGAAGCCAGTGTGACAGTGGAAAGCAGATCCTTTTGTCCACTCGCTGCGTGCAGTTGCAGTAAAGCCGCAGACGGAGCAACGACAGCCGAAGCGAATTGGCAATGCATGTACACGATGCAGCAAAGGTCCGAACCAATGCGCTTGATGCCTTGATGAGACGTTTGTACCGCTCCTTCCTCATCAAGGCCTTGCCCGAAATGCGAGTGTTTATGAGTTCAGAGGCGGGCTGGTTACCAGGCATGCTAGCATGCTGCGCCTTGTTCGGGTTTGGCGTTGTTGGCTACTGGGAGGACGCAGTGCCCTTCTTGTTGCTTACAGTTGACCAGGAGTAGGCTCAGAAAACTCACCAAGGACGAGGAATATCTCATGGGCCATAGTTGCGCAAACCTTCTGTGCTGGCTTCGAGGGTTCCACTGTGCGACTGGATGTAGGCATCGTTCTGGTGACCTCCGGGGGATTATATAAAGGTCCTTGGGAGGCCGCAGAAGTCCTTCACGAGAAAACCAACTACGGCCATCGCAGGCCTTTGCCTACATCAAAACAAACCCTAAACCCTAAACCCTAAACCCTAAACCCTAAACCCTAAACCCTAAACCCTAAACCCTAAACCCTAAACCCTAAACCCTAAACCCTAAACCCTAAACCCTAAACCCTAAACCCTAAACCCTAAATAAACCCTAAACCCTAAACCCTAAACCCTAAACCCTAAACCCTAAACCCTAAACCCTAAACCCTAAACCCTAAACCCTAAACCCTAAACCCTAAACCCTAAACCCTAAACCCTAAACCCCAGCCTTAACCCTAAACCCTAAACCCTAAACCCTGAACCCTAAACCCTAAACATATAGGCCGAGTTCCGACCTGGCCCTTTGCCACACGCAGGACGTGAAAATCACCGATCAGGGGGCTGGAAATATGCGATGCAACTTCAAGTTTCAGTTTCCCGGCACCGCAGATGCCGACGCCTTTCGTGAGGCTCACGTCAAGGCCGGCACTCATCAAGAAGATATGAATGCAACATATTAATCGAACACAAAAGCACAGAATATATACATATAAAGAAATGCAAGTACACATACATGCATGCATGCATACATACATACATACATACATATAGTATATACATATACATATACATATACATATACACATACATATACATACACATACATTGCATATGTATGATATATAAAAGTATACATGTATGCACATATGTCGAGACACACGTGTATATGTATGCATTATACGTACATACATACATACATACATACATACATACATACATACATGCATACATATATATGAAATATAATATGCCTACTACATAGTATATAAGTACATAATACTTGGGCCATCAGATATCAGGTGCTGTGTCCAGGTATGCGTTGTTTCGCAAGGGCCTAGACCACGTCCTGCGAGCAAGTCTTTTGGCAATCCAAACCCTAAAGCCCTAAACCCTAATTTCTAACCCTAAACCCTAAACCCTAAACCCTAAACCCTAAACCCTAAACCCTAAACCCTAAACCCTAAACCCTAAACCCTAAACCCTAAACCCTAAACCCTAAACCCTAAACCTAAAAGGTGGTCACCGACTTCGACGCGGCGCGTGAGGCGTTGAAGGAGGACATCCCCATGGACGACGCCAGCGACAACCTGAATACCATGAAGGAGGGGGGGTTTAGGGTTTAGCGTTTAGGGTTTAGGGTTTAGGCAGCCCAGATGGAAAAAGCGGGAAACCGGTTTCGGAGTTTACCGGGAATCGGGAATTCAGGCTTGAAGAATTGAGGGTCTTGCTTGACATTTTGCGGCTCTGTTGGCTAGAATGCCTTGTCGACCGCGGCTTTTCTTTGCATCCTCATAGAGGCAGATTAGAAACCGCCCCGTCTCGACCAATCCCAGGTTTTATGAGTACTGTGCCGAGCTAGGAGAGCAAAAGTGAGTAAACTAAGTAAACCTCGACCATCTTCAACCGGGACCCTTCAGGTCATTGTCACGTCGCCTGGCGATACCGACTTTGAGGATATGAGCACCGAAATGGAGGGGCTTCTCAAGTCGAACGCCAACCTGGAATCTGCTGGCATCCGCGAGGCCTAGCGTGTGATGTGTGTCTGTGTTATGTGTGTTTGTGTGTGTAGACCAGTGCGGACCCCGTGATGTGGCGCAGATGTGCGTTGATTGTTCGGATGTCTTGCACCAGGTTGGCTTGGTTGTTTCCAATGTGCCGCACGCTTTGCGCTATGCCTCGTTCATGCGCAGCGATGGCTGGAAAGAGAACCTGGCCACCCGTGCTTTGGCTGCAACTTTCGGGGATGTGGCTTGACAACTGGCCAGATCTTAGGGTCAGGCGGCCATGTGCAAGGAAGCTTGTCTGCTGTTCTTGAGGCGACATGAAGCCGTCGCTGCCGAACGTCCTAGAAGTCTACCGCCTGGCAGAAGACTACAAGTTGGAGAAGGTGATGCCTCCAGTCGGCCGCAACTCACAGGTGGGAGTTTAGTTTTTGGTGTTATTTGCCCAGCCATGCTGTTCTCCGTCCTTTTCTGCTTGCGATGTTTTGGTTGTCGCAATAAAGTGGGGGGCTTTTGGCAATTGCCACCTGCAGCAGACTCGATCAAGCATGCGCGTTCCTGCTGAGTCGGGTGCACTCGGAGGTGTACATTGGCTCTCCAATCGATGCGGTGCCTTCGAAGACGAATCCGTCCACAATCTTCGCACGTGTCTTCGATTTTAAGCATGGCGCCTGTTGGCGGGAGCTAGTTGCCATATGTTGCTATTCTCACTGGTCGCCGAGGCATGATCAAGCACTCGATGAAGGACTTTCCAGACAATGAGAAGGCGTGGACGGATTCCCTGGAGAACCTCCTGCTCAATGCCGTGGACGAGGTGGAGCGTGCCCGGCTGAACCCCAAAATTGGATATGGGCCTAACAGCAACATCTTCGCCCACATCGTGGCCAACGTCGATGTCGAGCCCTCGGAGGCCTATGCCGAGCTAGAATCCTTCCTCAACCTTTTCGTTGCCAGACACCAAAGCCGGCTGGGCAAGATGAAAGTGGATGAGGTTGTGGTCAAGATTGGCATTGGCAGCGAGATGAACCGCACTCAGACATTGCGTTTGACCGCGAGTTCTCTGACAGGTGAGTACTTGCGAACAAGCGGCGCGCTTGAAACCTACGATGTCATCACAGGGTCCCCTACCGAATGGTTCGACATCAGGAGCGGAGCGAAGACCCAGCTGACCTCTGCGAAAGCCAAGAGCCGCTTGCAGCAGCGGCGCTCGCTCGCCAGAAATGCTGGCTCGACCTACGCCCCGGACTTCCTGGGCATGCTGAAGATCGAGCTGATCAAGAAGTGGAACACCTACGAGGAGTGTGGCGGCTCTCGGAAGATGCCCGGCACCATCTTCCGAAGCACCGAGCTGGTGCTCGGCGACAATGGCGTTCTGAAAGAGGTGGACCGGGAGCCTGGCCAGCACAACATCGGCATGATCGCCTGGTGCTGCACGCTCCAGAGCCCCGAGTACCCGGAAGGCCGTGAAATCGTTCTCATCGCGAATGACGTGACCCACAAGGCTGGATCCTTCGGCGTGGACGAGGATGAGCTCTTCCAGAAGGCTTCTGAGTATGCCCGCCAGCGAGGCCTTCCACGCATCCACATCGCATGCAACAGTGGTGCGCGAGTGGGTCTGGCGGAGGAGCTGAAGCCTTTCGTGAAGGCCAAGTGGACCGACGATGATCCTTCCAAGGGCTTCGATTACTTGTATCTCGAGGAGAAAGATGCTGCCAGCCTGCCAGAAGGCGCAGTAGACACACATACGGTCACAGTGGCTGGCCAGAAGCACTACGTCATCGACTCCATCATCGGAGAGGGCTTGAAATCCACGCAGGGAGGTATTGGAGTCGAGAACTTGAGAGGAAGTGGCCTCATAGCAGGAGAGACGTCTAAGGCCTACAACGAAGTGTTCACGCTGTCCTATGTCACGGGGCGCTCCGTAGGCATCGGTGCTTATTTGAACAGGCTTGGGCAGCGGGTGATCCAGATGGTGAATGGACCAATGATTCTCACAGGCCGCTGTGCTTGCAACGATGCACTCAGGGTGCATGTGACATGTAGCGCGGGTCTTTGGGTCTTAGGAGCCAGGGTGCCTTTGAACGGGTTGCGAAGCAGGATTCTCCGCCTTGAACAAGCTCCTGGGTAAGAACGTGTACACTTCTCAAGATCAGCTCGGCGGGCCCCAAGTCATGGTTCCCAATGGCGTGACACACCAGGCGCGACAACTAGTCGGGGCGGTCACGTCACCAGTCCAGGCAGTAAACCCCACAGCTACGAAGTTGCGATTTCGAGCATGGTCGCATGACCACGCAGCACCCTTGTCCAGGTCGTGTCGGATGACACAGAAGGAGTCGCAGCCATTCTGGACTGGTTGCTCCTTGGCCAGAGTGGAACCTGTGGAGTGGCTCGCAATATTTTGTAACCTGAGACACCACAGCCCTGCAAAGTTGCAAGGTCCTTTGTGCCCAAAGTGGCCTCGGACAACCCGCCGCTCCTGGACCCTCTGGACCCGATCTCCCGTGATGTCACCTTTGTTCCTTCAAAGACGCCCTATGACCCACGACACATGCTAGAAGGTGCGGGCAGCAAGGATGACTGGCTAGGATCCGGTAGACGCTGGAGGGCCAACTTCTTTTGGGGGTGGTTAAGCTGCTCATCTCTTTTTGAACATGTGACATGAACGTGGCAGGTGCGACCATAGATGGCAAGAAGCTCACGGGCTTCTTTGATCGGAATACCTTTAAGGAGTGCTTTGGTGGCAGCTAGAGGTCCGATGGGTTATGCACGTTGCTGGTGCGGACCTCTGGAACAAACCAGTTTAATGCCGAGGTACTTGGCCGGCTGGGGACGAAGCGTGATTGTGGGCAGGGCCAAGCTCGGTGGAATTCCCATGGGCGTGATTGCTGTGGAGACACGTGCCCTGGCTGGAGGGAAGAGCATGCCCAGTGTGACATAAGACATACCCAGTACTGCTGTTCTGGGTGCCGCTTCGCGCATTTTTCCCGCCTCCTGCATCCGTCTTCCCTTGTTGGAGGTAACATGGACCGGAGGATCCCGGCAGACCCTGCGAACCCCGCAAGCCAGGAGGTGGTGGAGCCGCAGGCGGGCCAGGTGTGGTTTCCGGACAGCGCCTTCAAGACCGCGACGGCCATCCGGGACTTCAACCGAGGGGAGAACCTCCCTCTGATCATCTTTGCGAACTGGCGTGGCTTCTCGGGCGGCACCCGCGACATGTACCAGGAGGTGCTCAAGTTCGGGGCGCAGATCGTCGATGCCCTCGTGGAGTACAAGAGCCCTGTGTTTGTCTACATTCCTCCCGGGGGAGAGCTGCGTGGCGGGTCGTGGGTCGTGATCGATCCTACCATCAACCCGGAGCAGATGGAGCCCGAGCTGCAAGCAGTCTCTCGGTTTCCGGTCGTGGCTCCTTCAGCGCGAGTCTGACGTTGCCCTCGATGCGCCCCTAAACCCTAAACCCTAAACCTTAAACCCTAAACCCTAAGCCCTAAACCCTAAACCCTAACCCCCTTTTAAAAATCCGCAGGAGATGTATGCCGATGTTGATTCGCGAGGGGGCATTCTGGAGCCCCCCGGTATCGTGGAGGCTCCGGTTTTTACCTACTGGCTCTAGTAGGGAATGAGGGAATTAGGCACCTTATATCCTCCTACATAAACACTTTTCAGGGGTTCCAGAAGGTACCGCATTCCCTCATTCCCTACAAGCACCAGCAAGACAAACAAAGCTCTGAGAAGTGTTGCCGGCAACTCGCAAACCATCAACCAATGTCGGAGGTCAAGTTCCGCGCCATGCAGCAAAAGGACAGACCGAGTTGAATAGGCTCCCTAGATGGGCGTAGATCGGGGTTGTTCATAGGTTGTGCCCTGTTAGGGTCACCTTTTTGAGGGTCTTCCAGAGAAGCAAAAGGAAAAAGGTACTTTGTCCTTTGATGGTTGCACAGTGCTCTTGGTCCCAATTTTGTTGATTGGTCTCCGCGCGTAAGATTCGCAAAATTGCCTTGTAGGGTAACCTTGTTTGTCACAGGACCTCAGTCATGTCGTGAATTGTAAAGACCTAGAAGCCAAATCAGAACGAGCCCCCTGATTAAAAAATGACGCGGCCTGTCTTCGGCATGTTTGTCTCATGGCGCGCACAGAAAACCGACGGCACTGCTTGCTGCATGGCTGACGTACAAGTGAAGTTGTGAAAGGGTAAGAGGCGTGAGGTACTTAAATGAGCAATGGAACAAAGCAACACGCAAGCTTCGCCAGGAGATGATGCATCGACTAGATCCTGAGTTGAAGAAGTACGATGCACTGCTTGAGGCCGAATGCCTTTGTTGCCTCTCTGCGACCATGAAACGGGCGCAGTAGCCTCAATGCCAGGAGTCCTCCTCCTCGGAGGTTGGGAGCGCAGCGCAAGACATCGAGGCGCAGATCAAGGCCCGCGAGGACGGGCGCTGCTTGGATCACTGTGTACATTGCAGTGAAGGCAACCGTGCGTCCACCAATCGGCTGTTTGTCAGGAGAAGCTCAAGCCTCTCTACACTCAAATCGCTTGTGAGTTTGCAGACCTGCACGATCGTACCGGGCGCATGGAAGCCAAAGGCGTCATTCGCAAGGCGAGCGTCCTGTGAAAGCAGTGAGTGGCTTACGACAGTATGCGTTGAGCTTTTTGTATCGGCTGGCTGCCGGAGACATACTGCGAAAGATGTCACCGTGTCTGGGCCCCCCTGGTCAGGGACTGGAGTGGAGGCGCTCTCGGGAGTTCTTCTACTGGAGGGTCCGATGCCGATTGCTGCTCAAGGACGGCATGTGGGGTAAGGATGCGGCGGCAGGGCAACTTAACCATTTTCTCACAAACGGCCGGCGTTCAGGCATTGGCATTAGGGATTTTGAGTTGCACGATGGCGGCCTCTACTTAATTTAGCGTGCTTCGCTAGCTGGATGCAGGAAGTGGAACATAGCATTCGCGAAGCTGATGCGGCGTTATCCTCCAAGGAGTCTCGGAACATGCTGTGCTCACTTGTCAGACTTGTGGGGCCGAACCTCCGTGTTGGCAAAGTCCATCTGGCAAGAAACCTCCGCCCTGGCAGGCTGCACAAGAACTTTTGTCGTCCTGGCTTTCCGAGGCAGTTGTGGCCTTTCAGGGAGGTTTCGGATCCCATGGTTTTCTCAAGGGCAGCTCCGGCACAGGGCTTACAGGGTGGAGCACTGAGAGCATCGCGCGAGGGTGCTGAAAATTAGGAGACTTAGGTACCGTTTGGATCCAGGAGCAGGTATAAAAACGTTCCCGGTTCCTCGAAAGCGGAGGCTGTCAGATGTAGTCGGGGGCTGATGCCTTCAAGACTTGGTAGCCCAGTGGCCTTTACCCTGTTTGTGATTCAAGTTCAAGGGTGCCCCTATAAAGTAGCCGACCCAAAAAAAGGATATCCTTATACTTATGAGAATATGGCTACTGGGCTACCAAGAAGAAGTAAGAAGGAGCTCAGGCGACAAGGGGGCGCGCCCCTGGCTTTCGACTTTCGACAGGCTGGCGCGGATGCCGACGATGAGAAAGCCGTGGCGATCTTGGAGGGCAACCCCTTTGCCTCTCAGCCGCACGGACCGGTGGTCGTGTGCAAGGTATTCTTAGCTCTTGCACTGTGCCTTGTTCGGACGGCGCCAGGCTGAGAAAATCGAGCAGCTCAGTGTGGATGCCACCAAGCGACAAATCCAGGCAAGATCCAGTGTTTCCGGGATACTCGGAGCCAAAGGCAGCGCTGGATTGTGCCAGGCTTTGATGGAGAAGCTTCCGGAAAGCGAGCGGAGCTCTCTCTCGTGCCTGGCTGCGTTTTGAGTGGGCCCTTCTCATGTTTACGGGTCCTGATGTGGCTATATATGGCTGATATGGACCCAAATCATTCATGAGGCTTCTGTCTGGGGCCTTCCTAAGTGGCGTTTGTCGCCACAGTGGAGTTCAAGCGCCATCCCAAGGTGAAGAAGCAACCGCGGCACTTCATTCTCATCGTGCTCAGCCTGCCATTGTTGTGTAGGCATGCTCTATCTGCGTCAGTCGGCGAGTGGGTGTGATGTGGTGTGGTTGCTGTTCCCGGTCAGTTGAGGTCAGTACGCCGCTGCGGCCTGACGCAGGTTCCATAGTTGACGCTTTGAAGCGACAGTACACGCGTGTGTAGGCAGGGCCTTTAGCCATGCTATGCCTCGCTTGCACAAACGCAGCGCTCACGAGCGCCTTTGATTCAGTCTTACCTGACATGCTTCTCCTGCCGGCGATAAGGGGCTCGGCCCCCGCATTTAAGCTATTTTTCCCCAGAAGCATGCAAATTCATGGTTCGAACCGGGTCTCCTGGGAGCACCCGTGGGCTTTTCCCAGAGACGATGTGATGCAACTGCTACATGTGCATGGCATCTGCTGATTGATAATGCGATTCTCCCATGTTGCAACTCTGACTCTAACCTGAGAATATGCTTACGATGCCAGTGCGCACTCTTGGACATTAGTGGGAGATGGTGGACTTTTGAAAAAGCGACGAGGAAGCAGCCACCATGTTCGCAAGGGCCAAAACATCAGCGTGTGCCTATTTTGCGGATTGTCATCAGGGTTCTTTGGAGGAAAGCGGCCGTGCCACCCTCCAAGATCTTGCGAGTGTTGAGGTGGTCCAGCGATGCTCCCAGGCTCGGCTACTTGTGGCGGAATCCGAGGATGTGTGGGCGGGAGCAGCGTGGGGCGAGGGATAGCTGTCCGATAACGTGCGAGCATGCCCGTGTACCATGAAGCTTCGCCCTTTTCTTCCGGCAGGACAAGTGGGCAGCCGTAGGCAGAGGCCTGATCTTGTATGCAGCTTGGCTTCATATGCCAGGCACAAGGAATGCTATAGCATTCACCAGTGAATACCTTCCACGCAGGTATCCTTCTCCAAAGGCATCGCTTCAGAGGCATCCGCGCAACATCGTGCACTTGTGGCGCTTGTTGTTTGTACTTTGATCCGGTCATGGCCTGCATGTCGACAGGCGGGCGCTGACAGTCCAGGGCTTAAAGCCGCTGGATTCTGTTTGCGCTGCACACATGTGATGTTGAGATGCAGCAGCAGGCGTCACATGCCCGCGCCCGCTGAGGTGAAGTGGCAGCCAGCGGCCTCAGAAGAGTCCCGAGCGGTTGATTTTCTACGGGTTGCCGCAACGCAAGGCGCGCTGTTTGCAGCAAGCAGCAAAGTCGTTGTTGACGGCTCCACTCTCGTCATCAGGCCAAAGGGTGTGATGCAGCTGGGCTTTCGTGCACACTCTTGCCTCACCTTGGGCTTCTGTGATGTTCGGCATGCCTCGCATGGCAGCCATTTGCCAAGCGAGCGTCCCTGTGCTCGGCAGCACTCCTTGCCTCCCAGTCGGACGGCTAGCTGCTCCCATCGTCTGTACCCATGGCGAATAGCGAGGAAGATGTCAGTTCTGTTTGTGCAGGCTCTGTTCAGACTGAAGCATGGCAGGACGGGGATGACCGGAGGTTTGGGACCCAGCATGCCCAGCTGCAGCTTCCACACCATCCCCAGCCCCAGCAACTGCCCAAAAGCAAAAGGAGACCACATCCTGGGAAAGCCCAGCGAGCGATCAACAGACAACAACGCCAAGCTTCCACTTCGACAGAGAGGCTGGGAACGTGTCGACGGTGAAGGGGCCGGACCTTCCTACATGCCACCAGCTGCACCGTCCACCCCCTCGTTGATCATCGTTGATCCAACAGTTCGTGGACCTGGCCGCAAGCAATCCAGAACAGGCCATCGCGGCTTTCGCACAAATTCGGGCGCATTATGATGAAGCCTTGGCCGCTCCGCCGAGATCCGCGCCTGATGTGTCTGGAGGCGCAGCTGCGGTTGTGACATCACTCGAGCCGGTTGGGCTTCCGTCTTTGGTGGAGCAAGCGCCGAGCACCGCTTCAGAAGCAGACGCCGTTCCAGTGCCGACGTCAATCTAGTCACAGGTTGCACCCTCGATGGTTGAGGAAGTGCCTTGAATTGAGCAAGCATCAAGTACAGGTGCAACGCCAGAGTCAGCACCAGCGGCTGCTACAGCCACGCCAACTATGACAGCTTCGACGCCGCAGCTGAACGCATCCCCTCTCGGAAGCGCTTCCAACGCTTAGCAAGCAGGCCCAGCAACAACTCCGTGGTTGGAGGACATGCTTGCTGCTACCCGTCATGCAGGCCACAGAGATGCGCAACCGTGCGCATCTGGCGGAAGGCCAGGTTTTTCGCAGCACTTGGAATCCCAGCCAAGGCTTGCGAGGCACGGGCTGGGAAGGTGAGAACACCTATGTGAGAGCCGGAAGCAGGCTCGACGCCACCGCCCCCCCCCCCCCCCGCCAGGACGCTGCTTTAACGGCGGCGGAAGCCATGGGCGCAGGGACTGCCCGCATAATTTGAATCGGGTGTAGAAAGATCCATGGAACCAACTAGACCTTTCACAAGAGCTCTTGTGAAGCTGTTCTGGGTTGCCATGGCTCTATGATCCCCAGACTCAACCAGCCCACAGAGCCCTTGTGGGTCTGTTGGTCCCTCGCGGAAGTCTTGCGGGCGATGCCCCAGCCTGCTTGCTGGCTTGATGCTGTGTTTGGCAGTGCCTGCTGGCACACTGACAAAGTCATCGTCTTCGTCATGAGTCAAGCTGTCAGGCTTGTTTAGGCCAGAGTTTTGGGCATGACAGTAGCAGCATGACTTCCCTTGGCCTGCACGGAGCCGTGAAAATGCTGGCTTGCTGTGCTATTTGGGGCCACCAAAGCACATGCTTGGAATTCACTGATTTGTTGGTGTTTTTTCGCTAAGCCGTGCAGGCACAGAACATGCTGTCACAGTTCAGCGCGTTCTGCGAACTACAGCTGCAGTCACACAGTTTCCATTGTACCTGGTTCCATCGTGCTTGCGTGACATTCCCGCAAGCCGTGCTTCTGATCTCAGTCGTGCTCGCGTGAATTTCCGCAAGCCGTGCTTTTGGTTTCAATCGTGCTCGCGTGGAGTTAGCGCCAGCCGTGCTTTTCATTTACATCCCAGTCGTGCTCGCGTTGAATTACCGCAAGCCGTGCTAGCCATGCCTTTGGTCTCAATCGTGCTCGCGTGAAATCATCGCCAGCCGTGCTTTTGGTCTCAATCGTGCTCGCGTGGAATCATCGCCAGCCGTGCTTCTGGCCTGTACACAACATTGCAAAGTGCGGTCGCCCGTCTGCATCACCAAACTGTGCAGCGTTGCGATGCTTTGCTAATTTAAACTCCAGCCCGCATATCTTGAGTTAGGCAGAATCGTACAACTTTGCTCTGAGCGCAGTAGCAACTTAGGGCCATCATCAGAGGTAGCTGTACCGCGTAGTCTAGCCGTGCTGTCTGTCGTGCAACATGTGTACCGTGCTGTGAGGCTACAGCGGCGAGATTGAGGTCCAGTAGTTCAGTGTACAATCTTTAACGGGTTCCCAGATATGCGGGCAGTGGGGCTGTCGGAAGCATCGCCAAGCGCTGCGTTGAAAAACTGTTCCGAACTGTGCACGCGTGACGCTGGTCACCGTAAGATGCCGCGAGTATATCACCTGGGGTTCGATGGGGAGGATGACTAGTGCCAAAGATGCTCTCAACCAGAAGCGCTTAGCAAACAGACTAGGCCTGTTCGCTGTGTTCGTGGTCGAGGACAGTGGCAAAGCGACCACGGTGATGCCGAGTCCGTTGTAAAGCTATGCTCCCGGGGTGAGGTCAGGTGCCCAGCAGCTTTGCGTAGGTGCCGCAGCAAAATGGCGGATGCATGCTGATTGCGGTGTCCGCAAAGCAGGCACAAAGCCTGCTGATCGTCCCGCAAGCTTCTTTGGTCTGCAAGTTGGAGCTGGGAGACAGGCGCTCGGCTGGCGTGATCGATGCGAACTGATGGTTGAGTTAAGTTCCCAATTCTGGAGGAACCTCAAGTATCACCAGCAATGCCAGCGGGAAACCGCTGCGACTTTGCCCATAGCTGAGTGGCTTGTGTTCCGTGCTCTAAGGAGGGAGGTGGGGTCATGTGTGGCTGATGTGTGACTCCCAAGCAGCACGTTTGTAGGCTCAAGCCTCAACTGGGCAGTAGCGAATCATGCTAAAACAAGAGCCACATAAAGGCAACTTCAAATATGGGATGTGATTACTGAGCAGCAGCTACTGTGTGATCCAACCCCTGGGCTTCGTTCAACACATGGGAGGTTGGTCTACACAGGTTCCAAGAAAGGGCAAGCTTATGCCAGGAATCCTTTCTCAGACGGATCTCCCAAAAGAGGCCCTCGTTTTAAACAACTCCGCTCAACCGCCAAGCGGACACTCCGCAAGTAACATGCAACCATCTAAAGCAGCAATCTTCAGGCCTTGCAAGCGGGAGGTCAATGAACACCAGCCATGTGGCCGAGACGCCGGATTTCAATGGGCAAATTCTGCAGGCGATCGACCGCTGCCTGCAGCAGAGGCAGGGCCGCCATGGACCGCTTCAATTCATCTGGAAGTCGGCCGTTGCTGCTATGGCTGGCAGGTTGCTACGGAACACAAAGGTCATGTTCTTCTTCCATCGCCACGCCAGCGGCAAGGACAAGCTGGGCAGGAGGCACGCATTTCGGGGCAGTTCCTGGCTTCAAGCCGAAGCCCGTGTAGGCATTGCAGAGGCCTCCGCCCCTAAGCAAGAGTAAATGGCCCGGTCCCCTGGCCAATGTGCTGGAATCGCTGGATGTGCGATGATGTGCGGACATATCCGAGTGGTGAGAGAGTACACGATTCTCAAACTATTATGAAGCTAGCCTAGTTAAACCCTTTGAGGCCACAAGCCTTAACTCTAGACTCTCGACCTTGTTGAAGGCGTGCTATCTTGAATGGGGTCGCAGAGTGGTGTGCCTTGCAGTGGTGGGGGCAGGTAGGCAGGCAAACCCCAAAACACTTCCTTCAGCAAACCCGAAGCCCTAACGTCTCGAAACTGGGTAGTTACATGTCCCTTTGCATGGGCCTTGGGATGTTCACCCTGTTTCTAACAGTCCTTAGTAGAGATTACCATAGGGGTACTAGAATCGCTGAAAAGGGAGTGTTAGGATAAGGGGGAACATCCCAAAAGGGGCCCTTAAAAAGGGGGACCCCAAGACTAACTCAACCTGCTCCACTTGGCTGCCTGCGTCCCCTCTCAGTCTCCAGCGACTTGTCCTTTCGGAGTGGCGCATAGGCCGCACAGGTGTCAGCCAACCCTAAACCCGCAGCCACCAGGTGGCAAAACACCCTAAATCCTACAACCCACAACCCTAAACCCTAGACCCTAGACCGGCAGATGGCAACAAAAACCCCTAAACCCTAAACCCCCAAACCCCTAACTACACCCCTAAACTTTCCCTTTTTTTGAACCCGTGCTGAGGCCGAGGCATGTGACGGGAAAAGCCCCTAAACCCTAAACCCTGAGTCCATCAAAACCGCCAAAATTCCTGCCGACCGCAGGTCACTGAGCCTCGGTGAGGCCATCGGTTTGACGGCGGACCTGGCTTCTTGGCCTCGGAATGCGCAGCAACTTGGTGTGGCTTCAGGGTTTAGGGTTTCGGGTTCAGAGTCTTGATTCAAAAAAAGGCTTCAGGGTTTGGGGTTTAGTGTTTTTTGAGGGGCCTTAAGTATGAAAATGCGAGTTGTGATCTCAGTGTGTGAGAGGTTCTGAATTCATCTTCTGCTTGCACAGGCTCGGCATTTTGAGCTTCCAGACTTCCTTTTCAGCACCACTGCAGCATTCAGAGTGCAGGCAGAATCTGCTGCAAGCAGCGCTGAATTCCTGTCACAGTCGTGGTTGCAAGACTTGATCGTGCGCCTTGTCCCCAGGCAGCCTTCCAGAGACATTCTCCAGCTTTGATTTCACGGGCAGTGGCCGCCTGAGCTTGGAGGAGGTGTCACTCTGCTGCAATGATGGTAGTTTGGGATGTTCCCCCTTATACTGACAGTCCGTAATAGGGATTATAGTACCCCCTATTAGAATCCCTATGGACTATTCGTATAAGGGGAACATCCCAAGTAGTAGTGGCAAAGGGCTTGCCAATTTTATGGGGCTGGGCCATGCTGGGGCCCAGGAGGGTCATGGTGAAGAAGACCTTGTTGGAATGGCGCTGGTCCCTAGCCGGCCCTGCGAAGTTTGACAACTTCCCGGCGCGGACGCTTGAGGTGGGTTTTCGCACTCTGGTATGTTAAAGTCACGTCCATGCACTAGAGCTTTGCTCGGTGCCCCAGGACGGTGGGTACACGGTTGTGCGTGAACTGGGCCGAGGCGGCCAAGGCAGGATTTCCCAGCTACAATGCTCATGCACAATAGGTTGCTCAAAAGAAGGGTTGTGGCTGGAAATGTGGCCCCCTACGCCGAGGCATCATGTATCTTGCCAAGAAGGATGAAGCCACCTCCTGGCTTGACTACTGTACGGCATGCGCTCCACTGGCATTTGCGGACCGGATGGTGGCACTACTGTAAAAAAAACTGTAGGAAGGTTGACGACGCCCTGTGCCGTGATGAGAGCTGAGGCGGCTACAGCAGCGGCCCGTCGTACTGCATCAAGTTCTACAGCAAAAGGAATTCGAATGCTGGAGGTGGGGGGCCTCGATTGTCATTGGCTTGTGCACGACCTTGGATGACGGCAACACCCCTCTCAGGTTTGCAAGAGATTCTTGACACTTGCTTCAACTGTGGGCAGGTGTACCTGGGTAACTTCTATGGTTTTGAGACAATGTCAAGAGTGAGATATACAGAGAGCAGGACGAAAGAAAGAGCAAGACCAAGCCTGTAGTGTGCGGGCGCAATGCCACAGGGCCCCTTGAGCATGATGAGGAGAAGAACAAGAAGAGAGGGGTAGAGCCAGCTCTGAGCAGGGCAAGTTTTCCCCGGTGGCTAGGGCAAGTTTTGGCAAGAAGTAAAGCTTTTCGGGGGTCGCGGAAGCCAACCGGCTACTGCAAGCCGAAGTCACCAGCTCGGCGGCAAACTGGGGGGTGGTGACGATGCACGCGCAGCCTTGGGGGTTATAATTAGAACACATCATATAGTCTCAGCCAGAACCTCCGGGGCGCGCGCGCACTGCGCAGGGCTGGTTCAGTCTTTCCATCACCCCGTGCGAGCAGGCTTTACACACCTCGCTCTGTTGTTTCTTGAGTCCTCTCTATACCCGAACAGGGGCGCGAACTGCGCAGGGGGCCCTAAATCCCGCAACAAAAAGACAGAAAGACGCTCCAGAAGGCAGGCGGACGCCCAGACTGCACTCAATTCGCCTGGCGCTAACCGGCTCTTCCCAATAGAGCCCCTCTAATAATCATACTGGATTTCCAAGGTTTACAAAGTTCTATCTTGAGAATTAACCCTGTCATCTAATACCTTGAGACTGTTTCCACCTGGTGAGACAGGATTGTGGAAGAGGAAAGTGGACCGCCTGAAAGACCGCAATTAACATGTAGTAACTTTAAGGGTTTTGCGTGCGCCCATGAAGTCCTTACCAAAAGCCCCTAATTTGTTTTCCAGGCGAACTCCCGCAGCTAAGGACGAGTTTCACCGAATGAAAGAGTTCGATAATGTGCACGTGGCAAGGACTGGGCCTATGCCGTGAAACTTGTTCGCTTAGAACTCACGACGTCAGCCTGCACACCGTGAGCAGCTATGTGCGATCCTTCAACATGGCAGGACCTATGAAGCCTTCCACGATCAAGATTTCTTCTACTTGGTCAATGAACCGTGACCACGCGCGCTTCCGTCTTTGGTGATTTAGTCAGGATCTGGCAGGGGTCGTGCTGCAGCAATCGGCAGACTGTATCGTTTGTGCAGCCGCTCGTCATCCAGCTAAACAAGAATGAAGAAGATGGATGCTGTATGTAGTCGTGAATGTGACGTCATGCTTAGCAGCTGCTGTCTTTTCAAGCCGCGTAGCCAGCAAAACATCTCAAAACGAGACAGTTTCGGGTCCTCGAATCCAAACGTGTCAACCGTCACAGGGATCGGGCGTGTTGGGGGTGCGATCCGTTTGACATTTGTGGATGATAACATGAATGAATGAAGCTGAACAGTTCTTGACTTGACCAGGACACGTCATCGACAGTCGTTCGTTTGTAGAGCGGCTTGAAAATGTCCACAAGTTGTATGCAAACTGGTACAAAAGCGCAACACTCTGTGAAGCTCACAAATTGGAGTGCATGATGTCGAGACAGGCAACTAAAAAGGAAAGCGGCTAATGCATGTTGTTTTAGATCGACATACAAGTGTTTTCACAAGCAAACGAAAGGTACTTTGGGGGTGACCTCACCAAGCTTGCGAAGCGAGCTTACGACCCTTGGGCAGCATGCTGTTGATGAATTAGACCTGGCAGTGACGTGCGGGGTGAGTTCTGGCTCAGCTTTGTTGTGTCGAGGACAAGGGCATTGAGATGCGAGAAAGCTGGTGGCGAGAAATTTTCAAGCAATGTTTGCAAGGCGCACTTGTCTTCTTGATGCAGGCACCTCGGAAGTTAAAGTTGCAGCCATGCCTTCGCCAGGTCTGGACTACTTGCACCGGGAGGCCCAGATGCATTGTGAGCCCCGGCTGCATGGAGTGATTACTGGGTATGGGCCCTGATTCTGTACAGTGTATATAAGGGTGATGCCTTTGGCTTCTGCTCAGGATATCAAGGAGCCAAACATAATGCTTCGCCACGATGACTTTGCAAATCCAGAAGTTGTTCTCATAGGTGGGCGAGTTACACGGTTAGGGGTTTATGTTGAGCTTGGGTGAGAAGAGGCCCCCGCGGGGCACAGGATGAGACGAGAAGGGATGGAGGGACAGTGACATGACCATGGCAGAAGACGAAGAACACGAAGAGGAGGTGAGAGAGAGCTCGTGCCAGATTTCGGTCTGGCGCAGAGCATCTCCAGCAAAGTCACCGGCATCAGCGGCACGCCAGGCTGGGTGTGCAACCCCTGGTGAAGCATGAAGCATCCAAGTTTCAGTTCTTACGCAGGTTAC